CAATTGAACCCAGGATTTCTGGAAGAGTTTACTTTTTATGAGCAATTAGTAAGGTGAAGAGGAATTGACTTGCTCAGTTTAACCTCAAATCATAAAGAAATGGAGGAACAATGATAGTGAGATTAACATGCCAGAGGTTTTGATAAGCTTGAAAGGGCAGGATTTAATCCACACTTAGAGTACAGACAAATGTTGAATATCAGTTTTATGACAAGGGTTTAAATAGAAGAGGATACCAAGTGAATATAAGTTCTCATTAAAGAGGGCTGCTCATGAGAATATGAAGAAGGAGAAGAACAATTCTAGGCAGCTGACTTCAGTTTAAAGAGGCTGCTCAGACCCAGAGGTCTGCAGTGATAGGAGTATGGGTAGTCGTTCTGGTAGTCATTCTGGTAGTCACAGTAATTTCTGAGGCCTGGAAGTCACTGCAGACAGCAATATCCAGAAGTATAGGGTATGTGTTTGTAATATTTCAGTCTTAGACTTGGTTTGGGGGACATTTTTGCAATAAGTGGCAAAAAAATAATATGGAGAGAGAGAAGAAAGCATTCCAGTACTGTTGGAAAATGCCTGCTGCATGATGTAGGACCTTCATTGTTGTAGTTTTACTTTCTTTCCCTCCGTGTCAGCTGTGTGCTTGCTGCAATCTGTGTTTCTGTTTCTGGAGCAAATGATGTTTCCTAAGCAAGTGTTTGATGAGTATTTTCCACTGTCAAGAAAAAGCTTCGTGAAGGACTGGAAATAATTTATCCTCCTGTAAATGTCCTGTTAGTTCCTTATGCTCTGTAATCTTCCCTCCACATCTCTACATGTTTTTTCTTTAAGTGATGGTGCTGCTTAGCAAACAGATAAGCAGGCATACGTAAAACAAGTGGCAAAGAGTATGTGGATTGCTACTTGTAGTGTCTGCTGATGACTGATGCTCTGGCAGTCCCCTGGATGAAAGGCACTAGTCACTCTATCAACAGGATTCTGCCATCAATCTGAGTACAACTGTACTTCCTAAGCTAAAGAAAGCCATCAGTACCAGCTTTGTGGCATTTTGTTTATTAGACCTTCCATGAAGACAGGCAGTAGAGTATAGAATGGAAGAGCATTTCTAATACGGCATGAAACATTTACAGGTAAAAACTGAAGAAAATAGAAAAAAGAAAAAAAAAAACGCGATCTGAACCTTTGAGCTGAGGAGCCAGGGTGTTGAAAGCTTTGGAAATGTGTGCCCAGGGAGATGAGATATTCATTATTTCCTCTGTGGGGGGAAAAAAACATATCCCTGTGTGATACTAAAGGGAAGACTAGAGAATTATTTCTGTGTGGCATCTCCTAGTGTATGTGGCTGAAGATATGATTTCTTAATAATCTAATAGCCAGAAATGATTGCTAGCAGATACTGGGTTCTGAATACCTGTAAGCAATGTCCACTAGATAAGAGCAAAAAGTACTTTTCTGAAGGCTTTCCTCAGTTCTTGGAGAAGGCAGACCTTTAAGTTTTTTTTTTTTTTAAGGGTCTTGACTGTGGCAGTCCCCATCTGAAAATCTGGAAGAGCACAGTTGTAGAGCAACAATTTGGGAGTAAGCCACAAGGAGGAGTCGCAAGATGCTTGCTTCTCCTTTAGTGAGCTACCTGCTCCATCTGGCAATTGTAGAGCAGCCTACTTAAGAGGTGCAAATAATTTGACTTGAACTATTTTTTTTTGTAAAGTTGGCATGTGACAGGGCATCCTCAGTGTTCTTGATGGAGTTGAGTACTTCAGATGTGATTTGTTGTATAACAACAAACTGTGCCCTCTGATCTCTAAAATTAGAAAGCGTTATTTTTCTGAGTTAGTGGGTAATGAAGAATCAATTAGGTTTGAACTAGCAAGTATGGCTTGGTCTTAGTTTTTTACTAATCAAAGCTAGCAGTTAATCTATCAGTTTTGCGTGTGAATGCTGGGGAGCTGTAACAACAGCAAAGTAAATAATTCTTAAAGATATGTGGGGAAGAAAAGGAATGCTACAGATGGACTGATTTGAATCCTGAGTTCTTGAGATTCATCAACACTGCTTATGCTTTCATACTTGAATGGGAAACTAAAAAGATTTAGGCAGGATCTATTTTCTTTCACTTGCATAGAGCAATGAAAAATCCACTTGTCTAGCTACCTTCATCTCCCCACTTGCCTATATGCTTTTTGAAGTCTTTCCTGGCTTTTCCACTTTTTGTGTATTTAAACAGCAATTTCACTGCATTTATGACAGAGGCTGCAATGGGAGGCCCTATTACATATGTCACTACTTCAGTTTTCCTGATGCTTTCAGCTTCACCTTTTATGCCTCTTTCATATTTTTAAGCTGTATGTTTTGCCTTCTGTAAATATTAATATCTGCTGAATGTCTTCACTCTCCAAGAATGCTTCTCCCAGAAGCGATTCCTTCCTTTGTGCTTATTAATACTAGTCTCTTGGTGCTTGGTTACCTGTGTTATCTTCTGCATTATTTCTTGCTGTTCATTCTTCACTCTGTCTTCATTTTGCAGCTAATATCCCAACAGAAGTGAGTCACTACCAGTGAGAGAGCTGTAATCCATCAGGTTCAAATGCACTGACTTTTCATTTTTGGCAAACTGAGCTTTACCACGCTGTTCCTGCTTTCACCCACCTGGGCTGCACATTGGAATGTAATGTGGTATCTGTGCATTTATCTTAGCTTTCTGCCTCTTATTATATATATCTCTTATTATATATATCTCTGCCCCGCAAAAACCGCAAGATTTTCACAGATCTTAAAAGCTAAGATCTTTGATTGAAACTTCCCATCTATGAAAGACGCTTAACATCCTGTCTATTTTTGTGGAGGGAGAAAAGCATCTAACGTCTCTCACTTCAAGGGATGGAAGAGATGCAGGAGCTGTGGGATACCTAAGGATCCAAAAACTTCTTATGATGGAGTTTTCAATAGTGTACAGCTGGATCAGTGATTCTTATTTGATCAGACCTTTAAAAATCCAAGTCTAGGTACCATGCTTATTAATAATAATAATTAAAAAAACAACCCACAAGCCTGCAAAATCAGTTGTTACTGCAATTTTCCCCACCCTGTTATTCAGTGAATGTTTTCCTTTTTTTCTGGTGGCTCAAAAAGATACAAAGTTTGGGGCAGTACAGCTTGAAAAGTTCTCAGTTTTCCTTGCCTCTGTAAATCTGAAAGATACTGCAGTTTACCTGCAGGAAGACTGCAATTTGATGAGCAAGGATGCCTCCTAATCACCAATGAATGACCCTAACTGGTAACTGATTCCCCAAGACTCTTGCAGGACAAGGCATGGTGATGTTTTAATCTTGTAACAGATCTGTGAAGGCTGTTCTTTGTGCTAAATTGTGTGCCTGATTAAACTTGAGAACCAGTCTGAGATGCTTCCACAGTTGCTCTTTATAAGTGCTGACAGGTCCTAAAGGTGTTATCTCTTGCTTTAATCTCTTTAAGTTTAAGTCATCTTAGGTGATCTAGAACCAAAAAAGAAATCATCCAAGAAACAAGCCACACCAAAATTGTTCCAGAAGCCATTCTTTCATCCTTTATTTCACAAATTCTCACTTTATTATTTTTATTTTTATTTTAACTCCAAGAACAATTGATATCACAGAATTAACAAGAGGGGAACAACCAGAAAAGGGAATAAAGGGGATGTGACTAACAGTGCTTGCTTTTGCCATTTGATAGGAAGTGATTGGCATTCAAGATTACCAGGCAGAAGTACAAGTACATGAAGATCTACAAACTGGTGAGTGAAGTTCAGATATTCAGACTGTATTTCCAGCATTTAAGAGAGTAACGGACTAAGTTCCAGGGACAAGTTTATGCTTCACTTGAAGCACCCAAAAGCGTAATACCAAGAACCCACTGCTGAACAGAGAAATGCAGTATGTTAATCATGAAATGAGTTTATTGGATTAGTCAGGCTTTTAGTAGAGGACTTTATATAAATCTCACTTGCTGATGTATTGGTTTATAGATACATTTATCTCTCAATGCAACAGAAAACAAAAATATCCAGACCAGATGATTCCCTTAGAATGCTGCAAGAGCTGTCTGCTCCCCATGAAGATGAGGCGTGTTGCAGGGCAAGCTCCTCACCAGGGATGGATGTGAAGCCAGGTTTAGCTGAGGATTCAGACCATCAGACAAGTTTATGGTGATGAGTCAGGCCTGGACTCAGGCAAGGAAGTTGACCTGCAGAGCAGGCTTAGTGCCTGGTCCATGGGGCCTATGACCAGTCCCAGGGAAGGACTGTGAGGCAGTAGGGGCCCATCTCAGGAGTGTCACTGTAAAAGCAGCTCATAGCATGTGCTATGACATTCCCATAGTGCTGTCTGGGAGCCTCTCTCTGGAATAACCAGTGGGAAGGGATGCCTCAGAGCTGCCCTGAGTCCTGGCAGTCAAAGCACTCCAGGAGAGCACGTGTGCACAGAGGGCCCTGGTGAGTTTTGTGGTTCCCTTCTGTACCTGGCATGGTAGTCCAGATGGCCACTGCAGACAGCTGTGTTAGTTTTTTTTGCCTGATATTGCAAGAAGATTGTAAGTGTTAGTAACAGCCAGCCTTACATGCTGAATTGTTACCACAAATATTGTACACACAGCCCTATTTCAGCCATTCTAAGAAATTGGGGTATATAACTGTAGTCCTCTTTTTCTTTTAATTCACGATAAAAGGGAGATAATCCCATTGTAATCAGGACTTTGCTCTAGTCCAGTGCAAGAGCAGTGGGTCATCACTCACCCTGGAGAGTTTGTCCTTGGTTTAAACTGGTGATAGAGAAGGATTAACGTTGCTTCTTCCTTGTGTCAAATACTTAAATATTTTGCAAGTTACATATCACTTCCTAAACAGAAATGTCTCGACATTATTTCTTTTCTTAGAAATAGAAATACCTTACAGAGCTTGAATTCCACAACCCAGTAAAGAAATTGTTGGACATCTTCTAGAGAGTACATAACATGCTTTATTTCATCCTGTTGTTCTAAGGCTCTTCAAGATCCTCCATCTTCAAATCCTGCTGGTTATTCATCCAATTTCCTTTCTTAATTGTCTTTCTCTCTGCCTTGACATCTTGACAAGCTTGATCCTGGGGTGTTTGGTAGTTGGCAAGTGGCAAAATGGCATTGCTTTGGCCTCGCTGGGAGTAGACCTCCCTGTGAATGATGTCATTAGAGCAGAGCTGAAATTTGAAGGCTGCCTGAAAGCCTCTGCGAAAGTTTTCATTAAAGAAACCATAGATAATGGGGTTGACACTGCTGTTGAAAAATGCCAGCCAGTGGGCAAAAGGGTAGATATAAATGTTGATGATCTGCAGCTGGATATTTGACAGGTTGGCATAGTCTGAGAGCATCATCAGAGTCCACAATGGAAGCCAGGACAGGGTGAAAAGCAAAGCCACAATAATAAGCATTTTGATGACTTTTTGTTTCTTCTTAGACACAGTGTGTCGCTGCTCCTGGCTGTGCTTTCCCACTGTAGGCACTGCTGTATTGAAGAGAGCAATGCCTATCCTAGCATACATAATAACAATGAGTGACAAGGGAGCAAGGTAGATATTAGCAAACAGGACTGTTGTATAGATCCTTCTCATTCCTGGGTTAGGCCAGTTCTCCCGGCACCAATATACAGGGCGGGTTTCATTGCCATAGCCAAGGATTACTCTTATATGCTTCTCTTCTTGTACCTGCAGCATGACTGCTGAAGGACACATGATTGCAATGGCCAGAATCCAGATGACTGTTATAATGATGATAGCGGTTGAGGTGGTCAACTTCTGCTTAAATGGATAAACGACGCATCGAAACCTGCAGCAAAGGCATCCAGGAATGTATGTGGAGAAGCCATTTAGAGAATGCTTAGAGAGGTAAACATAAACATATACACAGGTATAAAATCATGTATTGCTAAAATTGTATGTTGTTAAAATTGTGTATTTTTTTTTAAAGGTACAGATGAAATTGTCTTATCCTGCATAACCAGTGGAGTTGTGTGTAATTGCTCCATTTAAGAACTGTGTTGAGGAAAACAATCTAGAAGAAAATTGGTGTAAGATGATCTCTTGATCATGTGTCTGTATCAACCTGCTGGTGCTTCAGTTAACTATGGCAGGCACCACTGCTTCTGCTATCTAGCTTAACTAGGGCACTAACCAACTCTACACAGTTAGGCACAGCCCCGCTGTGTGATTTTTAAGAGATACTGGCGGAAGGGCAATTACTGTGGATGCACTTCTGAGATGACTGTGTTCATAAGGCTGCCCCATTAAAACTGCATCTGTCTAATATGTTGTGGTATTACGTGAATTAATCTGCCTCATTGTTGTCAGGTGGCATAAGGGAGATGAAAGTGACAGTTCATCTCCACATCATCTTACCTGTCTACAGCAATTGCAACCAGAGTGAAGATGGAAGCAGAGACAGAAATTCCTTGGACCATCCCACTCATCTTGCAAACCATGCTCCCAAATGGCCATCCTGGAAGGAAACAGGTAATTGAAATTTTTACCGTCTCATTGCAGCACTGTGATCATATGCATAAGAGGAAATTTCTGTCCCAGAACAAATACTTTCTTTTGCTCTGGCAGGCTACTGTAGGGAGGTCAGAAAGGCATAGGTTATGTAAATAAGTGCACTGCCAGTTGCCTAGGTGAGTTTCTGATGTTTTGAGAAGCAGCAGAGCAAGCATTTGTGGTTTCACATAACATTGAAGAGAGACCAGCAGACAAGAAAAGGGTATTGACCTCTACAGGATTGCTCTCTGCATGTTGCTGTGAGTACCCACGTAGTCTTCCTGGGCATGTACATAACACAGTACTGGGTGATCCCTTGTTAAAGATGCAGGATGTGGAAGTCAGCAGGGACAGCCCTACTAAGAGGGTTGTTAGAGGCTTGTTTTCCTCATCTGTGACTTCCACTGACTTGAAATGCCAACTGAACTCTCTCAGAAACAGTAGTGTGTAAACAGGGCCATTGACCCAGTGCTTTATTAGGTGACTTTTGTGCGCTGTCTCCATATGTGTTGCAAAGTGAACCTGAACCCTTTCTGCCCTATATGCAAGATGAGGGCTCTGAATTTGCCCTCAACTTTCTCAGTGGAGTTTGGATTCTGTATGCCAGTGACAGAGATTAAGAATAGTATATGTGGATCACTGTCACATACAACCAACTCTCAGGTTTCCCAAGGAGGTCAGCACTCAGAAATACAGGTGAATCCCCTTCGAGCTCTTCTTGCTGTGCAGTGTGAACCAGCATACCTGCAATGATGTTGTCCAGTAGGGTGGTGGGCATGCAGAAGATTCCCACCAGTAAATCGCTGACAGCCAGGTTCAAGATGAAAAGATTTGTGACTGTTCGCATATGCTTGCTCCTCAGAACAATATAGCAGACTACTCCATTGCCAACCATACAGAGCAGGAAGATGAGGAGGTAAGAGACAATGAAGACAGCTGCCACGGAAGGCTGATGATGGTAGAAGTCCACGTAAGAGACATTGCCTTCTAAGTAGAGGTACTTGTATGTCCCGTTATAACTCAGCAGACGAGGCCATTCAAATGAAGAATTTGAGTCTGTTTCCTTACTCATGTTGTAACGTGCCTTAAAAGATATTTTTAAAAGGTCATTATAATGCAGTTTAAATTATTTGAAGAAATGTGGCTAGTGTGCTCAAAGCATACTGCATAACCAAACATGTGAGCTTGTGTATTCTCATCCCTCTATGGCTTATTCTAGTGGTCCATATTCTGCCCTCCTCCTCCCCCTCCCCTTCAAAGTGGAAAAGCAACAAATATTATTAGTTAGTATTAGTTTGATTCTACAATATAGGTATACAGAAGTGACCAGTAAGACTGCTGAAAATTTTCTTCCTTCTCCAGTCTTTGTAAATGTTCTTCCCTTCCCAAATAAGAGGAAATGTAGACAGAATGTAAACAAACCTATTGTGATGTGTCAAGCAAAGAAAACATTTATTGGAAGGGGGAGGGTGGGAGATTGGAAATCAGAATTCTTGAGAAATCTATTTACTCAACAGCTTGAGTAAACTAACTCTTAGGCAAAAGTGATGTTACTGAGACATTAAAAACAGTGGTGACAATAAAGCATTCAGAAGACATGAATCTTCACCTGAATGTATCCAAATCCAGTCACATTTAACTGAAAAAATTTTTGTGTACAACTGATATTAGACCTTAATTGATTTTACTTTCCTATGTACAATCTACACAGATCAAGAAAAAAGTCAGGAAACATGGATGACCTCTATATTTAAAATGTGTTAAAGTACAGGATAGCTGGATGTATTTTTTAGCTTTTCTACTAAATTCCTTCCTTGAAACAGACTTGCTAATTAGAGCTTTTGTTTCTGCCTATTTTTTCCCTGTTAAATTTACTCATGTCTAGTTCTCAGGAAAGCGCTGCAGTTCTTCTATATTTTGTTTGCTAATGAAATTCAGTAATGTCAAAAGTTTTGCAAGTGTTTCACTTCTGAGTAGTTCAGAGAAAATATATATATTCTGGTATGCCCCAGGTTTGGAACAAGTATAGTGGTGAATATTACATAGATGTCTTGTGTTTTCTGCTGTGTTGGCTGTCAGCAGCTATACAGCGTTTGCAATGCATTTGTATTTTTACATATTCTTTATGTATTTCAACAAGGCAATGTACTAACTACCTGTAATGGTTGTGCACTCCTTTTGTTTGCCTTTGTGCTGAAAAACTGTATTAGTTTATTTCATTCAAAATATTTTCAAAACTATTGAATTGCTTTCATTCAAATGTTTTATGTGCCAAATGTTTTAATTATGCAGATCAGATTCAGCTATTGTAGGTGTTTTAATAGTAGCTTTATTATTCCCTGAACAATACAGGTACTGATGAAACTGCATACAAACATGATGAACAGTGAGAGCAGTAGTCAAAAATAGACATTTGTCAATAGTAGCTTATGCCATTCCTTTAATCACAGCTCTCGAGCTGTGCTTTGTAGATCCCAGGAAATGTTTCATCACTAAAATCCCATCTAATCTTAGCATCTCTTCTGCTCCCTTTTGGCCTCTGTCAAGAAATGATTGCTCACTTGCCTCCTCTTCCCTGGCCAGCTTCTCAGGGTACTAAAGAGCAGGATGCTAAGCTTTCCCTGCTCAGGGAGATAACCATGTAGATGAGAATCAGTGCTTATTGTAAGATCTTCCCCACAAAGAAAGGGCAGTGTCATGACCTTTCCACTTGACATAGTTATTCTGGGTGATGAATGTAAAATCCAAGCGGTTGGCCTGTAGCTCTAAGTCATTTATAAGGCTGCCAATTGATGGGGTTAATCAAGTTAGAAATAGAAGTCTTTGCGAGTTCAGCTTTTTTTTTTTTCCTAATAGCTAGTGCTGAAATCAAGTAGAGGTGCAATAGTGAGGAGTGGAGCAGATGGAGCCAATAATCTCATATTGCTGGATGTTTGCTCATATGTTTGGAGCAAACAAAGCAACAGATGAAGTTTTCCTAGGCAAATTGCTGCATTTTAGGTAGTGAACGCAACCGTGCAAGAAAATAGGAATTCTGGTGTGTGCTGAATAAGCACAAGACTAATTTGCCTGGTAGGTCTCACACCTACTTTGAAAATTTTGGCTGAGATTGATAGTGCATCCAGTCCCAAACAAGCTTCTGGGAAAAGTAAGGCCCTCTGACCTTTCTCGTCTAACAAAAATAAGTACACAGTTGTCTCTTTTGGTTGCTGCTGTTGCTTCCTCTGAGGTTCGTTCCAAGTTCATATCTCTAGCATTTGTGTGCAAATAGGAGAGCCACAAGTGTTTTTTACTGTAAATGAACACTAATTTTCCTTCCCTTGCTTCCTGGAGGTGGAGCTTTTAAGACAGGCGTTCCAGACTAGGGAAGATTGCATTTACTTTGCACTCTGTTGTTCATGATCCATGCTGTCGCAATGAAACCCTGCAGATAAGACAGGTGGGTTCCCTTCAGTATTGTGCTTTTTGGAGTTCTCTGTGTTGGGGGAGAAGCTCTTTGGTAGGTGAGCTTTGTTCTTCTGAGCAAGAGCACAGAAGGAATACTTATGGTTCAGATTTCATTGCTACATAACACCTTTATACATACACAATAGTTCATAGCCGCACAGGCTTTGCTGGATGTTTTAAGAAGTTCTTGCTGGTATGAAACTTTGGTCCCAGGGTTTACAAACCCTTGTGGGTCACTCTTATGTAGTGGCTGTATTCTAATAAATTAATTAGAATTCTATTTATTAAGACAACTGAAATTATCCTTTATCATGCTAAAAGCATAATTTTATTGTGCTTCCCTTTACCTACTAATTATTCACTAGGCTTATCTTGGATTCGGCCTCTTTTTCTGATGGTATATTGTGAACCAACCACTTTCAATCTTTTTAGTAAAGAACCTTAATTGTTAACATTTGTAACCAACAAGCAAGAAATTGCGAATGGGAGCTGTCTCTGTCTTACAGCATCTGATCACACTTGCACTTGTACCATTTTGTACCAAATGTGGTGAGCTTGCTGTACAAATACTGTAGCTTACAGGAAAAGGCAAAGTACACAAGTTTTCAGTGTTTTAAGTTCAAGGGGAATGGGATTGGCTGGAAGAAGAAACAAAACGTAGTCCCTTGTGTTTTACAGGTAAAACAGACTGATAAATAGTAGAGACACAGGACTAAAACATAATTCATCAAAGAAAGGGGAAAGTAATATAATGCCTAAATATCATGGGATGATAAATAAGAGTAATTTCCTTCCACTTAATAATTTTATAAGGGCATGGCTGCACGATGAAAAATTGCCTGCATATTGTTTTTAAACACAGTAGATTGATGTGTTAGTGAAACATCTGTGACAGCATCCCTACACAAATAAGCAGCATTAAGTCTCACAGGGCAATCTTGTGCCATTGGATATGGAAAATTAATTTACCTCATAACGGCAACAGATCAAAGTAATTATGAAGTGAGTGCAGTTACTTTTATGTTGGCTACATGGAAGAATTCTGGTATTCTCAGGAGCCAGGCGTTACTACTTCATCTCCATACACTCTGATTGACTTTTATCCATATCGTTGTGTGCATAAAATCTTACTGTGGATTTGACTGATGGCTTAGAAGCAAAAACAAAGACAATGAACTGTCAGAAACATGAAGAACTGAGGTGTCGCTGGGGGAGAAAAAGAAAATGTATTGCAGTAAGTGCTAAAAGAGTCATCTTGTCCTTAGCTGCACACTCGGTAACGGGTTAACTGCAGAGACTTCCTGGAGACCTTGGTAGCACCTCTGTTCTGCTTGGAAGTTATAAACTTGTGATAGCAAAATACAGCAAAACAAACAAAACTCTAAGCTGTAATGTTTATGGAGTAAGAGGAGGACACTTATGGAAGTAATACCAGGGAACATGGACCAATTGTATACTGGGTGCTTTGTCTGCAAGTTAACATTTCCTGTGGAAAGCAGCCTAAAATCAAAAGCTGTTCAATCAGAGCAGCTGCATAGCAATGTTTGGAGAAGCAGGGGAGGAGAAGTCTGTGGCAGCATTGTGGATGAGGATCTGTAACTTAAACCAAGTTTCCGGCTGAAAGTGAAGAGCAGCATAGCACAGCAAAACAAGCACATAAGTAGAACAATAGCTGACAAAATGCACAAAATACCTCCAATGTTAATTACTTACAGCTCATTTGGTATGTTGCATACAGATTTGGACCAAATCAAAGAAGTCTAAAAGAAAGCTGCAGGAAAAAATCAGAAAGCTCTAAAGAACAGCTTTCAGAGAAACAGTGCAAGTTACAGGATCATTTCATTAAAAGAAAAAATATATTTAAAAGTATATTGTAGTGTGCCTCCATCTTATTCTAAGTTTCAGAAATATTTATTTTACTACCATACATCTCAAAAAGTTGGCTAAAATGGACATGTCTGCAGTACATTGTAAGAAGGACTCACTTCCACTTTCAGTGGAAGAAGACTTCAACAACAGCCAAATGGGCTCCAGAAGTATGCAATAGGCAGAAGAGCAGAAGCCATTCCTGATAAAACAGAGCATTGAGGCTTGTCGTGTTAAACATCACAAGCAATACAGTGTTTCTGTAAAGAAATGATTTCATTACTGAATACTGTTAAAATCTTTGAAAGTGTTTATTAGGTGTGTTTTAACCTAATTTTGAGTTTAATTTTATCTTCCTCTATAGTGAGAAATGCTTGGTCTGTAGAAAACTTGAATTGCAGAGTGCAAACTCAAAAGATATTTAGGAATATGAATAGAGTACTCTGGAAGCAAATGTTTGATTTATCTTGTAATACATCGTAATTTCATGGAATACTTCATGAAGCACTTAGTGTCCTATCACAGTAAACACTGAATGCGTCACAGGTAAAGAGCAGGCTTTCAGCTAAGAGGAAGCTGTAATAGAAGAGACATTTAAGAGTATTGAGTTTATAATTAAAAACAACTTACTTTCATTGCTGTACACTTCCGCAAACACAAAATATACACTGAGAAGCAAATCAAACATCTATAAATAGATAATAGCAGGGAGACATGCTCATGCAAGACTAATGAATGGGCATTATGCTTTGGACATTTGTCTTTCCCTAACAGTCATCTGAGAAATCTGAGCAGAGAAAAATGCAATTTTTTGCCAAAGGCTTTTTTAGTTTTGTGGGTTTTATTTTTCTTGTTTCTAAAGATCTTCCCCTTTTCCTGTCTTATTTATAAAGAGCAGTGCTATCAGTAGCAGTGCTATAAAAGACAAAACAAGACTTTAATTGTGGATTACTCATCCTCGTCAGTACGAAGACACCCTTTGCCAAAAAGCCAAAATGCAAATATTATTCAAAAGATGCTATAGCATGAGGCTTTCACAGCGTATTTCTTATTTGTCTAGAATATATAAAATTTTCACTGTTCCATATTTTTGACATTCAGATAATATCACAGCTTAAATAGGCCTTATTCCCACACTGAGTGAAGAACCTTAATGCTGAAAATTTACTGTAGCAAGGCTTTGCTGTAGCTATTTTCTGCCATTTGCCAATGTCAGTGTGTCAGCATGTTGATGTTTTTAGTCGTATTTGTGACTTCTGTCAGTTTGCTGAGAAAGTTTCCATGTTTGAAGTTTCCTGCTTGGCTGTAGATTGAGCACAGGGTGGAAATCTGCCTTCATCTGTCATGAAGATGTGTGACATGCCACAGAGGAGACAAGGAAAGAGGACTGAATAAACAGGTAGTGATAGGGTTTCAATAGTTAGCTGAAAGGGTACTTACACAGTAAATGAGGATTCCTTTGCAGCAAAGGCACTTAGAAAAAAATGTTTTCTGTGTATGTGTTGTATTTAGGTGGCTCTTAACTATTGTTTTTCATTATTATAAAAGGTTTTATTGTTAACACTTAGCCTTCAAGCTTCTGAGTGTGGTTTCTGTACTGATGTGTCACAGGCTACTTTGTTTTAACTAAAACCTCAGCCAGTTGTTCCCTGAAATAAGATTAAAATTCTACTACAGAAGTCTAGCCACTTTACTAAGAAACCAAGTCATAAGATACATTAGTTCTGTTATACTTGTAGATGGCTTTTATCATTTTTCTCAACAACTCTTTCAAGATCACTTGCATCCCAAGCCTCAGTCTTGAATTTCCTTGTGGTGTTTTTGCAGCTGAAGTCAAAGAGTCTTTTTACCCTTATTCCTGCCTGTCAGCAGCAGAATGAGAAACCAGGATGTTACTACCACTAATGTCAGCAGCATAGGAGGAGATAAATTATCAGATAAGCACTCATTAAATAAACGGCAGGGAAGTTATAGAACCCATTCAGTACAGAACTTAGCTTGCTTGTGGCAAGAGAGCCTTTTGCCCATGCTGTAAATTAATAGTAACTGAGTCAGAAAACACAGCACCTACAGGAGAGAATCTGTTTGGAAGATGCACAACATCCAATTGAAAGCTATCCATTTTTATTGAGGCAAAATGAAGGCACTCAGTTGACCTGGTGCTTGGTACACTTTTCAAGACATCTGTCACTTTGGGAGATTACCCCTTCAGAGGGGTTTCCCACCATCGACTGCCCTACTGCTACCAATCTTACGCTGTCAGGAGGAGTGTTGAGCTTGCTACAGGGTGAACAATATATGAGCCATGACTGTGCAGAAAGTAAAGTGTACTTATTGCATCTTAGCTCTGTTCAGGCATGCATTCAGTAGAGAAGTAATGAGGTTGTTATTAAATTCAGTGACTCTTTCAGGGCTATTACCAGAAAGTGTTGCAGAAAGACTAATACAGCAGACATAGCATTCTTCCTGATACTAGTGCATGTGTTACTACCAAATGCAGCAAGCTTAGCAGTATTTTGAAAGCAGCCTATCAAGCCTTTCAGATTGCTCTCTTCTCCTTAGTTCAAGTTGACTGATCAGAAAGAGCTGCTGTTCCTGTGAGCCAGACACTGAGCATCAAATGCCCTCTGATATTCCCTCATACCTTGCTTGTATTTCTGTTCTTTATTAATACATTAATTGAACTCAAAAAGGGGTAAACGCTTCCTCAAGTGCATTAGTTGAGAAGCTTTGAATAGAATTAAACTATTTAAATTTTAAGTCCTCCTGAGATAAAATCTTCAAGTAGAGGCTTTCCAGCCATGAAGGGAAATTACCAGGGACCTCAGTAAATACAGTCAGCCTAGACAGCTGGAATAGTGGAAGTAATTGAGGTCCTACAGCAGAACAATTTGTAAGGAATGAGTGAATGTGCCTTGGATCAAAAGCATAGAGCTGAAGCATTACTTCTGTTTTGACAGTATTACTAAGAAATTGTTCCAATTTACGTTGTTTTGTGGTTAAGGTACAATCATACCTTAAGGTAACTACAGAAGCTTTTGTCACAGGTACTAGTGTGTGAATTTAAGAATGACAAGGCATGCCAGCAGAGTAGTAACCCCAAATGCAAGTGGGAGCAGAGATTACTGCAGCCATCTCTCCAGGTGGAGTTTTAAATGTTAATCTTAGCATATGTAGTGGGATAAACAGTCACAGAATCACAGAATTGCAGTCACTAGTTGAAAGCTGGTCTGAAAGTTCTTGATTAGGAGAGAGCTTTAATCTGCTCTAGCTTCTCATGCCTACCCCTGAAGCCCATCCAACTCTTAGTTTCCTAGCTCATATCAGAATGCTGATGTTGCAGTTGAAAGACAAGGATCCCGATTATGAAATAATGAAGTGTCCATTTTATTTCTGATAATGTGGAGCATTAATATGCCAGCAAGGATTATGCTTCCCTGTTACCAAATATACAGCTTGCTCTAGTTGCCCGTACATCTTATTAGGTTATATATTGGAGGAAAGTTTATTCATGTAATGATGTTTGTGACAGCTTTCTGAAGTACTGTCTTGCATCCAGTCATAAAGACACTTAGTGTTTAAAGGGTAATACTTCGTAAACCTTAGTTTGGACGACAGAAGTTCTGGAATATATGATGAAAGACCCATCTAATTGTAATATTCATGTATTCTAATTCATCTACATACAACAGAACACAGGTAGTTTGTTTACAAATTAAGGTGAGAAGAATATAGGAAAAGCAGAGGGAGCTACCTAGTAAGCATCCATTTCTGACAAGAATCACAGTAACAGGTCCAGAGTTATGAGATAGACACTATCTTTCCAGGTACTTGCTGTCATTTCACAGAAATATAGGTGTTAGTGTGAGCTACTCTTCTTTATTTCCCCCCTCATCACCCAAGCCCACTCAAGCCTGAGTAGAAGCAAGTCAGAGCAACAGCTGCTAACCCTGCTTGTTTTCAGTCAAGGCTTGAGTGAATGCTGCTCTTTTAGGGTGACTTACTGTTCTATGCAACAAACTCCTTAAGTTTAGTAGCTCAAGCCTGTATCCTCTCCCCATCCTCTATTGCTATATGCTAGTTCAAACTCAGCCAGCTACACATCCAGTGTATGACTTACAAAATAGATGAACCTTTTGTGTTTTACATCAGGGATAACTACCTAGGGCTTATTATTATCAGAAATAAAGATTTTATGTATTCATGTCTTAACTTCCCTGCCCCTCAGTAATCTCAGAGGCTCAAACCATTGAGTTGCTTTTTTGTCCTGATATAAGCTATCACTTGTGTACTCAGTGTCCCTTTTGTGTTGTTCTGCAGGTGCACTGTGTCCATAAAGATGAGATGGCATATAGCACTAGTGACAAGAAAACACCAGCAGTTTTAGTGGCAAGGTAAGGTGTCCTGCTTTGTCATTGCTGCTTTCCTAATTAAGTCTTATCACTTATTAGCGTTGTTTCAGCAAGTTACAACTCAGGCTTCAATTAAAATAGCTGTCAGAAACCACCGATGTATAAATCTTAGTCAAGTTAATCATGCAGGTGCCTTTGAGCTCTAAAAGTGTTTGTTTTGTAACTGTACTTCAAGGACTCTGTCAGAATTAACTTGAGCTCACATACTGGACAAAGTCCTCTCCACAACTTAATTCTGTTCAACAAGTGATAGATAGCTGAAAATGAAGCATGACAAATTGTTCCTGATCACATTCATTTCTGTATTCAAAGCAACTCATGTTGAATAGTGTTAGATTTGATGGATCATTAAACTGTCTTTCTCTGGCAGGCTGATGATATACTTTAACTACCATAACCTGTGCTAGTCATATCATAATACTGTTGCAATAACCTGGATTTATCCACTAGAAGGTACTTATTTCGCTGTTATCTTCCAACTCGATTGACTGGAGCATTTTAATGAAAACCTCAGCATTTTAATCTTTGGTTTTGGGAAGTGTAGGAACCAAACCATCAAGTAACTATGCCCTTGAGAAGAGGGAATTAAACAATAATATTTTTCCCCCATAAAGACCATTTTCTGTACACCTATGCACACTTGATTTTCTGTTGATGTAATTACACTGCCAGCATTAACAGCAGTACAGCGTGGACTATTGCAAATGGAACAACTGGAAGACGTGCTCAAAAACATTGTACCAGGCATGCAGCAACTTTGTTCACAGCCGAAAATGTGAACCTCTAATTTCTGACATATAGATTTGCTAGACTCAGAGCAACTGTTAGAGGCATCTGGCAATTGCCCTGTGAAACATTTTGTCAGCCTTTAAAATTGATAGCCACTTACAGTCAGCCAGGGGAAAAAAAAAAATGGACAGATCAAGGTACACAAAGGACTCTTAGATGACTGTTTCACGAGTGCACCCTTAGTGGGAACAGTCTTTTCTCTGTAAGGACCTTGAGCTTTGTATAAAGATGAAGTGGCTGTCACATTGAGAAGGGCATTTCTAGCAGTAGCTGTGCAGATGCTCCCCCCTGTCCAGTGATCCCTGCTGATGGTAATGTTGCTCACATTGCTTTTGAACTACAAAGCCGTTTATACCAGATATGCGTGTGCTGTCACATTATTGCACCAGTATCCCAAAAGTGGCCAGTACAAACTAGTCAGTAGGGCTGCATTATACTCCCTTGGACCAACCGAAGCAGCACACAGGGACTTGCTTACCAGCAGGCAAATACTTGACACGCCCAGGAGCCCTATGCAGGCACTGTTATGTACCCAACTCAGAGCGCAGGATTAGCATTTCCTTCACACATACATGCACAGACACAAAGACCTGTTGCCAACAAAGCACTTGCAGTTTCACCTCAGCTCCCAGCTATAGCAGAACAGTGAATAGCCCAGCCCAACTTAAAGCCAGCCTCCCCTCTTGCTTGCATAGGCTATCCCCACTTACAGTTAAGAGTTCTCCGCAGCAACCACTGGTTCAGTGCAGGGAGGAGGAAGGCTGCAGCCCTGAGTGTAGCAGAAAGGGAATGGACCTCACCAGTGCCTGACAGATGCAGGGAGGAGGGAGGAAGAGAGAGAAGGAGGGACTGGAGAGAACAGACCAAAGCCACAGTGCTGAACCCTGGGGCTAGTGGGCTGTCACTTGCAACGCTCCCTACCCTGGGGTAGAAGAATGCACATCAGGGCTGTGTTTCTTGCCTGTATTTCTTTATAGACCCTCCTCTTTTTTTCTTTTTTTTTCTTTTTTTGTCTTTTAAAGCATCCCTTTGTCTCGGGAAGCTTGTTTGCAGAGTTGGAGTTAACAGCTACAGCTACCTCCCCAGGTATCAGCCCTCTAATAGACTCCCACTCATGCATTCCTGGTCATTACAACTGAGAAGGCAGCAGTCTAGAGAAATCTCCAATGTGCTGAGTGTTCCCCAGCACAGCGTGCAATGCTCAGGCCCTTGTTCTACATGCTGTGCTCCAGCAATTAGATCAATCCTTTCTAAAGATAAGGCATAGTTAGCTTTTAAATCAGAAGCAGGAACCTAGGGAAAAAAAATAATCTATGCAGTTCTTATCAGACTACTTGACACTTAAATTTAGGATTATAGCATTTGCCTTATCTCTTTTTGCATTCCTTCCTCCCCCTCGCTCCCCCAAACGCAACAAACCTCGGGCCCTGTTAGCCAGTGTAGTAGTACTCATTCCACTGTGACCATTAGAGCTTCCTTGTTCCTCAGGAATCCAAAGGAGGTTGGGAAGACCAAGAAGTCCAGCCTTCCCTCTTGCATACAGAGGGAGACAACTAGGTCCAGAACTCTCACTTACCTGGGATGAGAGCCCCTGCTCTGGTTCTAACTTTCAGGAGGTTACTGGAGTGTCACTCCATGGGGACAAGTAACAAGAGACCTTTATTCCAGTATTCCAGTCTAGGCTGAAGCAGGTAATAGAAATGTTGCTAGAAATCAGGAAAATGAGGAGTACTGCCACAAGCTCATTATCCAAAAATAGGTTGAGAATTTCTAAGAATAAGAGAGAGAATGATCAGACATGCTTTGAAAAGGACATGTTCTGGCTTTATTTGTATCAACTGTCATAAGGAAAGAAATCTTCAGTGACATACTACAATTAAGTCACACGGAGATAAAATGCAATGGTTTGTAGGGGAAGAAGGGGGTGGGGGGTTGGGGGGAAGTATATATATACACGCACATATACAGGAAAGGAAAGCTTAAAGTTAAAGACAGCTAGAAGGCAGCGCTCTCACCATTCACAGTCACAGTCCAAGGTCTGAAGTCAGTCCAACAACATTGCCTGTTTCAAGATAGGAAAGAAACACAGCAACAAACAAGAACACTCATTGCATTCTCTACAGTGAAGCTGGAAACCATCTCCTTTACCAAAGCTTAAATGCAGTACTGAGGCCAAGGGAGGAGGCTGTGGAGGCCCTGGGTGAGGCCATTAAGCTGAGTACCTTAATCTGCAAATGAAACCTAGCAGCTCTCACATCTCTACTGCAATCCTCACTGCTGGTATTCTGCAGGGCACAAGTGACACAAGTCGGCAGCATACTTCAGAGTGGAGGATGAGAGAGAAACATCAAGCTGTGCTTTTGTGATATAATTGCTAAAAATGGAAATGAAGGTACAGTGTTGTTCACTGGAAATTAAGAATTAAGGTACAGCACTATTTGCAGGGGTTCAATAGCAGAGTGCAGCTGGTATGCAAGGAATCCAGTTCACAGCAGTTCCCTAGGTAACCTTAGGTGTTGGTAACATCAGGAGAACATGATTTGCTGATGCTAAGAAGAAATGTCATGGAGGATGGAGCAGAGTAGAGATTGGCCAGGTTCTAATATAACATCACTGGAATGGGAGCATGAGGGTACTATGGTAGTGATTAACTGCATACCTGTTACCCAACAGTTTGATATCTCTTGACAAAATGCCATCCTGAGTGAATTTAGCTCCTTATACACTCATTAAATGCTCATTATAATACCAAAACACACCTCTATCACAGAGGCTACTTGCCTCCAGGGTGCAGCTGTCCCCCACTGAGCCTGTGCTCTGAATTTTTTGGCCTATAACTTTAGAAGTGAGGCAAGAGAATTTTACACAAATCATAAGCAAAGGTATGTATGCGGCTAGGGACACTCAAGCTCCACCTGAAAAATAAGAAATAGTATAAAAATTATTTAACTTTTATCATTGAACATTTAAATGATAATCATTTATCATTAAGTGATAAAATCACTTTATCATTCTCCATTTAAGAGGCGGAATGTCAGGGAATGCACCATCAAATGTCAGATATGAACCATCTGACTTCTGGGATCAGTTGATTGGCTGAGCTTCTCTTTTCCCATTTTTGGATGCCTATTGGGTAAGATTCACAGAGTCAGTTATACCATATGCTTCCTTGGGAAACTTAGAAGGCTCTGTAGAGTTGCTTATAATTTAATGCGTTTGTAGTTGGTTGCATTATTGGTATTCTTGGTTAAACTCATGCTTTGCAGACAGTGTTTTTATCACTGATAATCCAAGGAACCCGTGATCTGTTACTTTAATAAAGTGCACTGTTCATTAATCTAGCTGTAAGAGTTCTTAATCTGGGCATGGCCTAAGCTCTTAAAGAGTGATCATGCAAGCTCATTTGATGCCATTAGATTAATTGGGCAGTGTGCTGAAATAGTGAATGTCACTGAAGTTATAGTGCCAGATTGAACATCAGTCAGAATGTGAGATCAGCTGCACCCAGCCCTTCTGATGTCTGAGGACAACTAGAAAATAAGGGGGTATGTTTTCTGCCGAATTAGGTTGCTCTTTATTGTGCTACCTCTCTGCAGTGGTGTGTAGAGAGGGTAAGTAGTGGGAAGTGTGTGTGTATATGCTGCCAACACCCTTTACACAGTGGTCTTTATTACTCATGCCGTAAGATATACATGGTCAGTTCAATCTTCTTTTCTTTCATGGCAGTAGGAAAGTGATTGACGAGCACAGACCAAACTGATTTGCCTACCGTCCCTCAAAGCAGTCAACAGCTGGAATTAGAAGGGACAAATTAAAGTAATAAATGTGGGGTCAAACAGGCAAGGAAGACACTTCTTCAGGTTTTTTCAGATCCCAGATTCACCCCAAGCCTATTTAAGTGTTTAAGTATGGGCACTAGGCTATTCTGACTTGCAGCTAGTGACACAGTCAGCTTCTGTAGACACAAGGTCTCCACGGAGTCTGTGTGGAAATAGGAGCATAGGTCTCACGCTCAAGTGTTTGTCTTTCATTATACGCCTCAAAATATGTCATGAGGCTTGTGACTGTTGTGTCCTATCTGGCCTGATGGAATAATTCCCCTGAAATTTGAAATACCTCATTCAAAAGAAGCCTGTTCTGCTAGGAAAAAATAGAAGTGTCCCTGGTCAGCTATAGACTCTGCTTTTTTTTGTGTGCATACATTCAGATGTGCTGGTGTCAGATTTGTGACACAGGTGAGTTGCTCACTTGTGATGGTGTGAATGTTTGCTTACTCTTCTTCTGAGTGGCTTATAAGGAGCTAATGCACTGGGGGCTACCTTGTGGTCTAGTCTCTTCTTCTAACTAGAAAGTCTTTTAGTTGTAAGAGGGGAAGTTGCCATGCAGGGCATGAAGTATGCCTAGATCTGCAGTTAAAGACACGGCTTTGTTCTTGCAGCTCCTGAAGCAGATTGTGATGTTGCTGTTGCATGGCATGTGGCTGTAGGAATATTCACATGGTATCCGGTGAAGATAATTATCCTCTCTTCTCTACGTACTAGAGCAAGTATTCCCAAAAGGTATCCTGCCCAGGGTGAGTACTTTCTTTTTTTTTTTTTTTTAATATATAAATAAAGGTTAGCTGGACTTCTTTCTGTCTGCCGCTAGACACATTAGAGGGAGTTATCTGTCCTCTCCAGCATAGCATCTCAGGCATGTATACAGTCATTATGTGCTGTGTGAGAAGCGTCTGAGAGGCTAGGATGTCACTGACAGATAAAATAATAAAAGTGGTTACAGACTTCATACTAAGTGTAAAGCCATGATTTAAGTTACAACAGTGATTTCTCACTTAGGTCTGGAAGCTCATCAATAAGAAATGTCAGGGATTAAGGAAACTCTGGAATTATTAACCCAAGGAATGTATGAATTATTTTAATAACTCAGCAGGATCTTAGGACAGCACAACATGGAGTGTTTCTGATAGAGGTGATGGCTTTGAAAGTTTCCCAGGATATTTAGAAGAGTTTACCTGGAACAGCCGTTATTAGTTAAAGCCCATCCAGGAAGGTTGTCTTTAAAATAAAAATAAATTAACAGAGATAGTGCTGGAAGACAGAATGTGGGCACTCTTTGAAGGAGGGAAACTACAAAGAGCTACCTGTTGTGTAGACTGGTTAGCACATGCTGAGACAAGATCTCATTTTCCTCTGTTCTGGTATCTCAAATTAATGCTAGGAAACACCCAAAATATTTAGCTATGGGAAGGAATTGGAAATGTACGTGTTGGGTGTGAGCTAGCAAAGTGCAGATTTAGGAAATTAAGAATCTTTTCCATGGTTTTCTGTAGAAGCAGAAGCCAGAAAGTATTCTTAAGATGGCAGTTTTTCACTTGGAGAATAAGAGATGCTCCCTAATGAATTCTGAACTCTTGGTAAAGCCTGACTCTTAAGAAGCTATCCTGGCATGGGGATATTTACTGGGCATCAGTGATTACGCTCTGACTAGTGCAGGCAGGGAAGAGTATTGAAAAAGGATTGCTTGTTGGTATTTCAGAGCCTCAAATAAATAGCTTTTAAACTTGAGGCTCTCCTTTCTCTTTGGATGACGTATCTGTCCTTTTTCTCCATTTTCTATTAGATGGCAAATTAAAAGGAAACTTTTATTAGCTAAAGTAATGTTCTGCAGCTGCTGGCAATAGCTCTCTAGCTGTGTTTTCAGTCAGATGGGTTGCTTAGGGCTTGAGGAAAATAAGGCTAGGATGACTTTGCTGGTGTGGCGGGAATAAATACTATTTTAGGGGAGTAAGAAATTAAATATGTGTTACATACAGAAATGAGTTCAGAAGTTAAGGCAAGCTCAGAAGTATGTTTAAGATATAAGGTGTGTTTTTATTTCAAAATAGAAGAGCATGAACCCAGAAACTCGAGAGTTTCAGCATTTAACTTCATTGCCTTGCTGTGACGCTGCACTGGATAGACTTGAAAACTGGATTTTGGCTATGGGAGACTACATGAGAGATGCAGGTAAGTCCTGGATGCTTCTAAGTGTAGGTAAAAAAAAAAAAAAAAAAAAAATTTTTTTCATCTGTACAGCTTGTTTGGTGCCCCTCACAGGACAGTGAGATGTGTCTGTTTTTTGAGATGCACGTGCTTTATTTTTCTCCTTCCTTGCTATTTCAGAATAAATGATTAGAGAGACCTTTTGGGAAGACACCTGCTGAGCAGCAGGTTATACAGGAGAGGTTACACAAAAAGACCTGAGGGAACTCAGGAAAGATGCAAGGTTTGGCTGGGTGCTTGTAGTGGTGCTTTTGAAAAGGAAGGAAAAAAGGAGAAAAGAAAGGAATGAAAAAGGTAAGCAGGAGAGAGAAAAAGGAGAAAAGGGTCAGGCAAGGCAAGAAATAAAGGGAAAGGCTCAGGGAAAGGAGGAAGGTAAGGGGAAATGGAAAGGCACAAGATGAAAGGGAGAGGATGAGGAGAAAGCAGGGGAAAGGCAAGGAGAAAGTGGAGAGAGGAATGTAGGAAGGAAAGGCAGGAAAAGGCATGTCTGCTTTTTTTTTTCCTTCATAGTTTCTATTTATTTGTTTCAATGACCAAATGGAAAAGCAGAGGCTGGGGTAGTGTTGCTGTGAGAGGGCTGCCCTGTGGCTGTTGAGTCAAGGCTGATGTCTGCCCCAAACCACGGGACACTGAGGAGCCATGCTTCATCTCCGCGTTATCTCCGCCCTTCATGTTCTGGCATAAATACAGGTGCAGCTCCAGGTGATTCACGGATAACTGCAGAAATCAAAGTTCAGGGAAATGGCAGGGGTTTCCTTCAGACAGTCTTTAAGTGTGAGCGGTGTAGCATTGGCTTAAAGTAGTTAAAGAGCAGATAAGAAATAGAACTCACATCAGTGAGCCTGCTCACATTTATCTCGTGATGAGTAAATACAAACTAAAGAAGTACTGGCTGATCTAGTTTGAGAGGATTGGATGCACGTTGGAAATGAGGAAAAAAACAACAACTATGCAGTTCAGGTAATGGCTGCTGTACAAAATAAATGAAGCAATATAGTGGGGATGAAGGGAGCCAAAACATCTCCTGGGAGAACATTGTGGGTAATGGCTGATTTTTTAGAAACCTTTTAATAATATCAGGAGTGATTTAATGAATACCAAAGTTTTTGCTTAATATATATGATTATTTTTCTTCATGTACATTTTATATCTATTGTTTTATATAAATCCATTATGAAATGCTGGAGTTAAAATAATAGCTGTCAGTCATAATGCCTCCTTTAATGCCTCCATGTGAGGAGAAAGGGGATTTAATCTGAAAATGAGGATTTTTGCTCTCTGGACTCCATCTGTGATTGAGATATGGCATAGAGTGAGTGGTTTGGCTGGGGAACCTTTTTTGTGGCTGCACATTGCTATGGTCACATCCAATATCCCATATCCCGTATCTCATGCCCCACATCAAATCACATTCTGGCTGCATCTTAGGGAGTTTATTGGGAGGTCTTTGCTGAGGCTGAGTGGACAGGTGAGGGGCTGCAGGTGATGCTGATCTTGGTGTTGTGACTGGTCCTGTTCTCATGGTGCTGTGAGGATTGGCTTTGTTTTTCCCAGCGGAGCATGGTGGTAGAAAGGCAGTCAGTGGCGTTCATCTCTTTTTCCAGTAGTAGTAGGTGACACAGACACGTGTATACCCTGCTAAGGCAACTCATTGGAGAGCATTAAGCGTGTAGCTAATTTTAATTACAATTACACAGGCCAATATAATAAACTCATTCACTGTCACCTTTTTTCTTGTCCAGTGGCGTGTTGGAAAACCTTCGATTCTTCTTGTTCTGGCGACTAGGGGGCACTCTGCCCTGGCCTCTGGGGTGCCCCTTGTGCTGTCTGCTGTGCCCCTGCTGGGCCCTCACCATCCTTGTATCCACTCAGCCCCCCAGCTCCCTAGACACTCATGTGTCTGTTGGTCTGGAAAGACGCTGGGGAGAAGTTCCTTTGAGCACATAGCAGAGACCCTGTCACCCTGGTGATGGGGGGGGAATCCTGCCTATGAGCTCACAAGGACAGAGATACTGGCAGCATCTCCCTCAGCATCCCAAGCACCAGATCAGCCACCTGAGACCTTCCTATTCCCCCCATTGGTACTCAGACCATGATCATGCCTTTCTTTATGCTTGGTGATGGAGAAGTATCTTTGGGATGAGCCACTGCCACATGCCCATGCACAGGGGTGGATGGACACCTCCTAAGTGCTTCATTCTGCATGGTGCTGGTGCTCAGCATCACCTTCCTTGGTTTTTTCTTGCTTCCTGGGCAGCTTTGGCGGAGCTCTATGCACCCCAGCTCCCATACTCAACTCTACCATATACCCTGCCTTTGCCTATCTCCCTGTCACCTCACAGCCCTTTTCCACCAGCACCATTCCAGCAGTGAGACAAGACAAGGATGCTTTCAGGACTTCATTGGCAGGCTCACACCCTGTGGGTGGCCCTGTTTTTTTTAGTAGAGGGAACACTGAGACATGACATCTTGTCCAGGAAATCTGCCAGTGTGCTAGGAGCCAAATTACTGGTCTGACTTCTTTCTTGGGGAATTCTGCAGCGCATGTTTTTGACCTGCAGGACTCAGCATTGTGAGCTCCCCTTGTTACCACAATGACCTTACTGCCACTGTTTCTCTGTTGGTAAATGTCATGGAATCATTGAAGTTGGAAAAGACTTCTAAGATCTTCTAGTCCAACCATCCCCCTACCACCAGTACTGCCCACTAAGCTTATGTCCCTAGATGGCTACATCTACCCTTTACTTAAATGCCTCCTGGAATGGTGACTCCATCACCTCCCTTGGCAGTCTGTTTCAATGCATTACTACTCCTTTAGAGAAGAAATTCTTCCTAATAGCCAACCTGAACCTCCCGTGGCACAACTTAAAGCCTTTATGTCTTATCCTATTTATGTTACCTGGGAGAAGAAGCCAACTTTCACCTCAACACAACCTCCTTTCAGGCAGTTGTTGAGAGCCATAAGGTCTCTCCTGAGCCTCCTCTTCTCTGGACTGAACAATCCCAGTTCCCTCAGCCACTGCCCATAAGACTTGTGCCCCAAACCCTTCACAGCTTCACTGCTCTTTTCTGAACCCATTCCAGGACCTCAATGTCTTTCTTGTAGTGAGGGGCCCAAAACAACATGGTACTTGAGCCTCTGCAGAGCTGAATTTAGGGGGATGATTACCTCCCTGGTTATGTTGACTACATAATTTCTGGTACAAACCAGGATGCCGTTGGCCTTTGTGGCTACCTGGACACCCTGCTGGCTCATGGTCAGATGAGTTTGTACCAGCACCCCCAGATCTTTCTCCTCCACACAGCTTTTGCTTACTTACCATGCTTTTACCTAGCCTCCTTTTTTTTTTTTTTTTTTTTTTTTTGTCTGCCTTTTGCCATGTACCTTGAAGCAGTTGGATTTTCACTCCCCTGGCGGTGGCCACACTTGGGCTTCTGGGCTGTCTTGTAGTGTGCTATGTCAGCCTCTACTTTTGTACCTTCTGATGTGCACCCTCACAGCCACAATGTGGCTGATTGTAAAGTGGTAGTGATACAGTGGGGTAGCTGTTGGTTTCCACTACTCAGACTGTCCCTAAGGAAGCAAAATGAGAAGGTTTGCCTCAGTGTGCCACCAAATAGCTTATAGCAATGCCTCATCAAGTGTTTCATGCAGCATTTCCAATCAATTTCCTTCTCAAAAGCAGATTTCTAAGCAAATAAATTACCAAAAAAATGTTGTTAAATAGACTCGCTAGAGTGTAGATGAGTTAGGAAAGTCTCTGGGTAATTTCCCAACTTGCTTTGGCTCCAAACACGGTCTCCAAATGAGTGAAGTAGAGCTATAGAGCCCTTGAAATGCCCCTTCACCAGGTGGTGTACATGATTGTTGCTTCTTGTCAGATTCATTTATGGCTTTTTGTGGGCAGATGAATATTCATCTTGCTGGTCTGGGGCTGGTCTGAGGTAGAGCTCAGCTGTTGTCCACTTTTTCCCTGCTTAGCACCAGAGGGTAAGCTGTGAAGCACCCCTCGTCAGCAGGGGTTCATGAGCAATTATTCTAAAGCTATTTTTAGCAGATTTCCGTGTTTTTCTTTTTTTTTTTTCTTGAGAACTGAGAGAGTAGGTGGTAATTCAGCATTATAGCATAGTAAAAGAATAGACAGACTATCAGTGTTTATACCAAAATAGCCTATTATCCAGGTGTCTTCTATAGATAAATGGTAATTGGACACTCCTCAGCTCTCTAAAGGTCACTAATCCTTTTGAGTATCCAGGCTTTTGAGTATCGCATTTTGTTATGTTATTGTTCTGCACATCTAAAAAGGCTGTCACCATCCTACATAATGTGTCAGCTGGCGTATTTGCTCCCATGGGACATCTTGCAGGGAAAAACACTTTGCATTTTGCTGCATTTTCCAGCCATAGGTGCAAGCCATTTGTCTTCCCAAGGCTGACACCCACCAATCACTAATCTCCAGAAGAGCCACCTCTGTCCTCACAAGGAGACTTATTGCATGATCCTTAAATGCTTGTAGGGTACAAGGGACAATTTCCCTCCACGTCTTCTTCTGCACTGATGTAGGGCAAGGAAATCCTATATGGGGTCCTATAGCAATGTGTTACTGTTATCCCTGAGTTAATTATTAAATTCAGTCCCGAATTGGATGTGCTGGTGCACTGGGCCAAGGATGCTCGCCCCCTGCTCTGCAGCCAGGATTAATCATTCATCCGGTGACACACAGGAGCTCCATATAAATTCTGGGCTGGGTTTCCCACTGATGCTTTTTTTGCACGGAGAGGAAAAGCAGTAGTTGTGACCACACTCTGCTGTGGCTCCACCACACCATGAAGGCGGTTGTTACCTTCCTGCTCCTGCTTTTTGTAGTAACTCATGCCGAACATCGAGGTAAGAATGCTTACTCTCAAAATCCTTGTACTGCTGTGGCTGGAATGGATTTACTGCCCCGTACTAGGTAGGG